GTATGGGGCAAAAGCCCTCGGACAGGGGGCCACAGCCCATAGATAGCGTGGCCAAAGCCCATCTAATCAACTCTTAATCACTGGTTAGGTACGGGATTGTATACTTATTTTAGAGGTGACAGGTGGTTGTCATACTGGTCCTGTTAAGAGATTTTAAGAATTGCTGAAGGGAAAGTTGTGGAAAAAATGGTTGCTAGGGGCAAGCTGTCTGTTGGGGGAAACCTTAGAGATGATTGTATTTAGATTTTATCATAAGAGTGTGACGTTTGTTTAAGGAGAGGTCGTACTTTAGATGATGCACCAGTTTGACCAATTCAGCTCTTTACTAATTGTGCTTTGGAATGTCACTTTAATTTACTGATATTGCTAGTTTCCATGGTTAAGCTCTACTTAGCCATGGACAACTTTTGTGACACTGCCTATGCCCTTATGTCCTTCTTTGATGATTGAATCCACTGATTTTTTCTTGTGAAACTTCCTTGTCTTGTCAATAAAAAGAAAGGCTGCTTTTGGATCGAGGCTGCTCCCCTGATGGGTGGCAGTCCCTCCAGGCCTCATTGATGGCACTTTCAGCGAATTCTTTCTTTCTCTTTTCTCCGTCTCAGTTACGCAGAGGAAAGTGTAACAAAAAAGTAGTGTCATCGGTCACGTATGGTATTATAAGAATAATTTTCAGGTTACTTCATAGCATCACAGAATCTCGAGATTGGGAGACTCCACTCCCTCCAACCAAGCCTTGAACATCGTTATCCAGGTTCTGCATGGACAGGTGTTAGGCAGGAGAGCGTCCACATGGTTCTGCAGAAGCCTCATGGGCCCCCTGGCCCCAATCTGGGTTGTTTTGTAAAATCCCTCCTATGGGGCCGGCCCGGTGGCGCACTGCTACAGTGCGCTGCTTGGGAGCGCGGCGGCACTCCCACCGAGGGTTCGGATCCCACATACAGACCGGTTCCCGCTCACTGGCTGAGCGAGGTGCGGGCGCAACACCAAGGGTTGACCTCCCGTTGCCGGTCCTGGTCCGGTACGGGCGTGACACTGAGGGTTGCGATCCGTTGCTGGACACGAAAAAAGACAAAAAAAGGAAAAATAAAATAAAATAAAATAAAATAAAATAAAATAATAAATAAAATCCCTCCTATGGAGATGAGATAACAAACACGTAAGATCGTCTGAATACCGAAGTACACCTGATGTTTTGAACGAATAGGCTGAGATCAGAAAGCAGCTTTTTTTCTGTCTTCCTCTGTAATTCACTGAAAAGGCTTCTTTCTCCCCCAGCCCTGGATTAAAGTCAGCAGGTCTCACACCTTCCCTGGCCTTCCTCGGTCACAGACAGATCTCCAGACACTGAAAGTCAAGAAACACACTCTCAATCCAGTGATGAAAACGCCCACTCCAAGATCCGGATGGGCAACTGAGTCTGGATCCACTGAACACATGGCATGACCGGTGTCCATGGGTCGCTGATGATTTTCAACATCATCCCGCAGTTGGGGTTGGGATCTAGATATACACGTATTTCACTCAACCAGGGTGATGTCTCTATCACTAAAAAATTGAATATTAATAGACAGATT